CTTGATGTTTTAATTGGGAGTGGTTCCTCTGCTTCTTCATATTGCTCATATCTCTCTGGCACTGTGGTTTAAGGAGTATCAGTTATCTAGTTCTCCTGGAGATGGTGTGCTCTTAATGATTTTATTGAGAGGTCTTTGTGTCTTCACCCTGTTTTGTGTACTCAGCTTGCTGTTTCCAGAGACCCTCTGTTGGTGCCCATGTCTGTGCTGCTCCCAGTGGCTGTTGGCTAGCAGATCGTGCCCTCTCCCAATATTGGGTCAGGTGCTGAGCTCTTACCCAGTAGGTGGGTAGGTCACTCCCCCTCCCGATGCCATAGTCAGATGCTGCACTCGGGCGAGGCAGGTGGGCTGATCACTCCCCCTCCCAGCAACATGGTCAGGTGCTGCGTTTTGCCAGGATGGTGGGGGGCCGCCTGCCCTCTCCCAGTGCCAGTCGCTCCGCTGCTCTGTGCAGCTGCCGCTCCACCTCTGGTCAGCGCTTCAAAGGCAGGCTCAGGGAAGACCATGAAACGGCCCTGCTCCTGCTCTGTGCCAAATCTCAGCTCCTTGTTTGTCTTGGAGTTCTCAGATTTTTGGCGTCTTTTTCTTTCTAAGAGGGCGATGTTCTGTCGGAGTTCGGCAGGTGCTCTGGTTGGCTGAGTAGGTCCATAGATGTGAGTTTTGGTGTATTTGTGGGAGAGGGTGAGCTACAAGCATCCTTCTACTCCGCCATCTTGCTTCTCTCCATTTCATACATATTTAAATGACACTTTTAAACCTAGGAATAAAGAAACCACGAAAATTTTCAAGTGTGTAGATTGATTTGAAACTCAGCATCGGCTAAACATAAATTAATACTGTTCAGCAGAGCTGAAGTGAAACCAGGAGTTCATCTTCTATCACTTGGAAAGAAGTTTCCAACATTTACTATAGATTGCTCCAAATAAATGATTGAGAACTTTTAGCAGCGATCTTTGGAAGCCCTTCAGATTTTGCTGCCCATTATTAAAAGAACAGGTTCATATAAAATATGCTCTGACTCTGAAATAATCATTCATAAGACAACGATTCTTGCTTTTAAATATTTGAATCTCATTCTCACATTTCCCACAGGCAAACTGATTGGATGAGACCACTTCACACCTCTAATCTAAAGGCAAAGCACAGCTAACAGATTTGTACATTTTTTCTTCATAAATTAACTTATATTTTGCTTTTAGTATTTATTTATCCAGCCTTCCCCACGGGTTGAAAAATGCTTGCACTCAAAGACTTTAACTTTGATTCTCTTTACAAGTCCCCAAAGAGATGCATTTCATTCCATTGCTGTGACGTCCAAGGGACAGAAAGGAAACAAACCTAGGCAGCCAGACTTCCAAATGAGTAACATTGTTTTAAGTTTCTTTTACCCCTTCTCCTTCTTTGTTATTTCCCCCTTTTGTTTCTTACTTAGAGAGGAATCTGGAAGGATAGGTGGTTTTGTATGAGGAGATGGAATGAGAGTGGGGATGGGGTGGGAGTGACAGGTGAGTGAGCCGAATCCATGAAAAGCTTGCAAATGAGTGACAGAGGGCAGCAGAGGCAGAGCTTTGTCCCTCCGCCAGCCAGTGATGGCTCCTTGCAGCTGAGCTTCCTGTCTGTGAAATGGGGCTGGGGATGTCCACCTCTCAGAGCAGGTATGAGAACTAAATGGCATCAATGTGGGACCTGGCACGTGGTCGACAGCAGAGAGGCACTCTCCTCACATGTGGACAGCTAGGGTCAGATGGCCTGGTTCTACTGTTCATCCTGCAAATGTCAGAATTCTAGGGTGACGTTTTAATTTCACATGTACAGTCTCATTTGCCCCAGATTCCCGTGAGATAAACAGCAGAGCAGATATTATTTTACAGATCAGGAAGCTGACGTTCAGAGTTGAGGCTATTTTTCTAAACTCGATGTCAAAGTCAAAACTTGAACCCAATTCTCTCTCCTATTTCCAAGTCCAGTATGCCTTGCTCTCCTCTCTCCCTCAGTGCCCGGGGGATGGCAGGGACTGGGGAGGGCTCAGCTGAAGGACGAGTAGATCCTGAGTGCTTGGTTCACCCTACACTTAATTACATTGCTGTGAGAAAGACACCCGTGGCCCCCAGACAGCACACTGCATGGCCACTGCTCGACCTGGCAGTTCCCCCATTTTCACTCTGACTGAACCTTCATATCCAGGATCGTCTCCAGCTTGTCACATCTAGAGATGGGCAGGGGGCTGGACTGGCTGTCCCCTAGTTGTCTCTTCTGGGAAATGTCCTCCCCCATCCCACTGCCTTTTCCTCACTGTGAAGCATGAACCTCCCATTCCTGGGTGAGCTCTTGACCCCATAGGCCAGTGAATATCTTCCTGGGGTTTTTGTCCCCAGGATAACCTCTTCCGTGGCTGGGACAGTTAGGTCTGACCTTACAGCTGCTAGTTGCTCTGTATTCTTCTACATGAAACACTCTAGTCTGCTGTGAGAAGGATGCAGCCGTCAATCAGATCAAAGCCGAAGCAAGAGGCAGGGAGAGCATCTTGAGAGATGGATTTATTTATTTATTTTTTGAGTTCTGATTTCCAAGTATTTGCTCTTCCTGTAGCTTGGGCATTGAACTTTCCTTCTAGGTTTCTTGTCTTCTTTTCTTTTCTTTTTTTCTGTGTCATGGGCTTAGGCTGTGTTCCTACCATTTGCATCCAGAAGTATCTTCACTGTCCCAGCATCCCTCCTCCTCCTCCCCACATTGCCCTGCAGTTTCCTGCGCCCATCGCTCCCCTTAGGGACTTCCTCCTCATCAGCACTCTGCTTCCTTTGCCCCACGCCCAGCACATCTCCACCAGTAGGAAAGCTGCAGTCCCGTTTCCTCCGTGCATCCTTCCCCTGGGCTGTACGTCCCCCTCTCTCTACTTTCAGAGCACTCACGGCGCTCTGTACCACAGTTTGGTGTTGGCTTATAGTCCCAGCCTTGTCACTAGATTCTGTGCTGCTTGCAATTATTTGTCTTACATGTAGTTGCTTAATAAAACCTTACATAGTGCCTAATGCTTGCCAGGCAGTGTTCTAAGAACTTTATAAGCATTATTTCACTTAACCCTCACAACATTCCTGTTGAACTGAAGCAGAGCCCAAGTTCCCATGGCCAGAAAGAGAAAGTGATGAATTTCAAGCCCAAGCAGGCTGACTCTGGATCACACGCTGCTTCTCTCTCAGCAGCTGGAAGGCTTCAGAAGCCCAGTGACTGAATCGGCTCCTTTAATAAAACCTCCTGTGAGAACCAGAAGAGTGAAGATATAATAAATGATCAGTCGAGGAATATTAAACTGAAGGCATCCTCATGTTTCTTTCTCAGGGGCTGGATCTCCTTTGGGAACGGGAGGGTGGAACCCGGAGGGGTGAGGCAGGAAGAGGACTGTGGTGTAATGAGGCAACTTGGCTGAATAAGCTCAGACCACAGATGGGGTGTCAGATGCCCCAGCTGAACCATTGTTCACACCCTGTGGACCAGAGCAGCCCCCCAAGTCCAGTGTGAAAGGGAACAGAATGGGCTGGTAGAAACGACGATAGATATTTTAAGTACCATATGCCTAGCATTCTGTGATCAAAGGAAATAAAACTTGAAGTTGGAAAGCCAAATGCTGTCCTCAGAGAAGACCCGGCTTCGGTGACATCACACAGCCCGGACCTCAGCACTGTTTTTCATCTTTGCCCTTCTTTCTGGCACCCCTTTCCCACCCGTGTACGTCTGCTCCTCCACTCGAGTTCAACACTGTCACGATGCCCTCGACCCCAAGCTGGATGACTCAGGCCTCCTGACGTCCCCCTCCCGCCCGTCCCACCCCCACCAGACACAACTGATCTTGTATTCTCTCCTCTCTGGGCACTTTTCCTACAGCAATGTCACTGATGAGTTCATTGGCTACTAAATTATTCTCCTTGACCTCTGCCAAGTGTGAGACCTAGATTTTTGTAATGAGAGTCCCAACCCCAGCTAAAATGCCTGCCCCCTTAAGAATGAAGCACCCTGACTCCCATGATTTGGGGCAGAACAGCAGGGAAGAGACTTTCTTTTTGCTGTTGTCAAGTGATGGATTCCCTCAGCCACTGATATTTACAAGCACATTCAGTGTTTAAGGAGCTGGGCGCTGGGCACTGGAGGACGCAATGACGAGGAAGATTCATTCCTGGTTTATTTTATCTGTTTCTGCATGTAAACGTTGACCCCGGCCGACCGCGTTTATTCTTTTGTTTGAACAGGCAACTGGAGATAAAATCATATGCATTTTTTAAACTCTGAATCTCCTTTCAGAATCATAGGTGCACATAGAGGGTTCATTTTCATATTATTTTCATTGTGTGATTCATTCTTCTTTCTGGTGCCAAGGATCCTCTGCAGAAGTAGCGCGATGAGCCTCAGTATTTGATTTGTCGGTTGCCATGTTAATACTAGATTTACTGGGGCACAAGCAGGAACAGCACTGACAGCAAGCTAGCCTTGAACATACAACGGAGGAATTAAAGATCTTTGCATACTTTCTGTTTGTCATGGGCCGGCTTATTGGGGTTTTTTTTTTTTTTTTTTTTGGTTATAGCAAAAGAACACCAAACCGAGGAATGTGCCTATATGAACAGTTTTCTGGAAATTCTGGTGTTGATTTCTCCTGTACTGTATCCTTACATAAATAAGTTAGGACTTAAAATCATATTAAGTGAATCAGAATTTAAAGAATATGGAAATCATGGGGGAAATGGCTCTGAAATAATTTATCAAAAATAAATACAACTTGTTGTTTTTCTCCATTGGTGCAATAATTTAACTTTAGGATGAACTCTTTTCAAAAATGTATGAATCATCTTATAGGCTTTTATGTATTCTTTCATTTGATATTTATAATAATCCTGCGTGGAAGGCAAGGCTGAGGTCATTTCATCGTATTACATGGTCAGTGGAAGGACGTTTGGAGCTGCCAGGTGGCCTGAGAAGCCACGTAGCAGGAAATACAATGAGAACCAGGTAGCCTGACCACCTGGCTAGTGCTTTTTCTGAAACCAGATCAGATTCCTACTGCTACAGGCCCATAGTCCCATACCCAAAACCCCTCAGGGCCCCACGTACTTCCAAATTGAGAACTTTTTAGATTTTTAAAAGGCAATAAATATACCATATATTTTTCATAACACTCTTGGCTCCTTTGTATGCATTCAGGTCAATCTGCTACATTCATGCACATCAGAGAGCATGTAGTCTTTACAGACTGGCTTCTTCCACTTAGCAGTGTGCATCTGAGGCTCCTCCATGTCTCCTCATGGTGAGAGAGCTCATTTCTTTTTAGTGCTGAGTAATATTCCTTTGTCTGGGTGTATCATAGTTTATTTATTCATTCACCTGCTGCAGGACATCTTGGTTGCTTCTGAGTTTTGGCAATTATGAGTAAAGCTGCTATAAACATGTGCAGGTTTTTGTGTGAACACAAGTTTTCAACTCATCTGGGTAAATAGCAAGGAGTGTGACTACTGCATTGTTTAGTAAGTTTATTTTTCATTTTGTGGGAAACTGTCAAACTGTCTTCCAGAGTGGCTGTATCATTTTGCATCCTGGCCAGCAGTGAACGAGTCCCTGTTGCTCCACATCCTCGCCAACATTTGGTGTTGACAGTGTTCTTTATTTTGGCCATTCTAATAGGTGTATAGTGACACGCTAATCAACTCATTGCCTTTATTTGCATTTTCCTAATGATGTGTGATATTGACCATGTTTTCATATGCTCATTTTCAATCTGTTTATCTTCCCTGGTGAGTTGTCTGTTCAATTCTTTTGCCTCTTAAAAAATTGGATTATCTGTTTTCTTATTGTTGAGTGTTAAGTGTTCTTTGTATATTTTGGAAAAAGTCCTTCACCAGTTATACGTTTTGCAACCATCTCCTCCCAGTCTGTGGCTTATCTTCTCATTTTCTTGACAGTATCGTCCAGAGAGCAGAAGTTTTTAATTTTGATGAAGTCTAGCTTATCAATTATTTCTTTCATGGACCATGTCTTTGGTGTTGTATCTCAAAGTGAAAGTCTGCTAGGTTTTCTCCCATGTTATGTTCTATAATTTACCTTTAGGTCTGTGATCCATTTTGAGTTAATTTTTGTGAAGGTTGGAAGGTCTCTGTCTAAGTTTATTTTTTATTTTTTGCACATGAATTTCCAGGTGTCTTAACCATGTATTGAAAAGAATGTTTTTGCTTCATTGTGCTGCCTTTACTTCTTTGTTGGAGATCAGTTGACTGTTTTCATGTGGGTCTGTTTCTGGGCACTTTATTTTGTACCATTGGTCGATTTGTCTGTTATTTCGCCGGTACCACACTGTCTTAATTATTTTAGTTTTATAGTAAGTCTTGAAGTCAGGAAGTGTCAGTTCTCCATATTTGTTCTTCTTCAATATTATTTTGGGTCTTCGGCCTCTCTGTATAAATTTTAGAATCAGTTTGTTGACATCCACAAAAATAACTTGCTGGAATTTTGATTGGGATTGCATGAAATCTATAGATCGATTTGGGAAGAACTGATAGCTTGACAGTATTGAATCTTCTTATTCATGAACATGGAATATCTATCCATTGATTTAGCTCTTCTCTGATTTCATTCATC